TCGTTTTTTTTTTTGGTGTAATTACAATCGGGAAAAGATTCTCTATCATTTCATAAGAAAAAATAATTTTTTTTTTTTTTAAATTTTGCAACACCAGGAGACACCTCAGGATTGGGGGTTGCAACAGTCAAAGGGTTAAATGATCCACTAAATCATATCTCCACAGATCCTTAACCCTTTGAGGGTCGACAGGCCCTCTCTGAAACTCGTTCTCAGGGTCAGCCAAATTTAATAAAAAAAAAAAAATTATTTTCTCTTATGAAAAGATAGAGAATCTTTTCCCATCATAAAGACACCAAAAGTTTGAAATTTGATAGAAAACTTACGGAATTATGCTCTCACAAAGTTAGCGGTCTCGGCGATGTTTACGCATCGGCGATTTTGCCCACTTTGAACCCCATTTTCGGCCAATTTCACTGTACTAGTCGACAAAAAACATGAATATTTCACTAGAACTCCATTTTTACTATCGAATGGGTGCAAGAAACCACCCATTTATGAAATTCAACTATCCAGTACAGTGGTCAGAATTTAGCAATTTTGCCAATTTCACACAAATTTCAAAAGATGCCAATTTCTGAATAGGGTCCAGAATAAACAAGAAAGACATTCCTGGCACTAAAATGACATTTCCTCTAGTCATTAGTCACGTCTCAAGGCCCCTCTTATATTCTTTTGCTTTCCACTTTGAATTTTTATTCTCACAAAAAATATAAGATTTACTGTTATGCAGACTACTGCATTAGTGTAAAAAATGGTATAAATATTATTGGTGCACTTGTGAAAGAATATTAGACTCACCAGTTGATGTGTATTGCACGCTTGACACGATTTGTTTACTTTTGAAGTTTGGTAAAAATCGAACATTTCTGCTACTTTGAGCTCAATTTCAAGGCACCTTTCATTGTAAAACCAGTCAAAATCATCTCAATTTCTGTAATATGTCTTCCATTCTATAAAATGAGACCAAGAAAACTAGAATACAACAATAAATACCATACGAAAATACACTGCAAAGTCGCTGATTTATTCCAAAAAAATGGTAAAAGTTTTTTTTTTCTCATTATGCACTGTGTGCTGCAGGATTTTTTTTAGACTGTGCACACTGACCACATAGACCCATTCTTTCATATGAAGGCCTACCAGCTTACTCCCACTAGATTTGAGGCCGCTAGAATTTATGCGTACTAGTACGTCAAAAACCCCTACGCGTAAGACGTACTAGTACGACCAAAACCCTCAAAGGGTTAAAAATGCACATCTTATCATATACATAGTATTACATAGTGTTATAGTAGAATGTACAGCATAGGGCCTTAGACGTGGCTTATAAGCCACCAGCAGCGAATGCATCTACTATAAATCCAAGGAAACAGAATGGTTATCTGGTAAAACACGTGGGACATGCACCCTTGACCATCCCAAAAAATGCCACATGCGCATGACAACAGTAGAGTGCAACTTCCCCTCCTGTAACTTATTTCAGCTAGAAATGTGTCACTCATCAATCCATGAAAGAAAATGTTACAACGCATACTGCCAGGCACATCACCTAAAGGGGACTAGAAGACACAGACCAGCCAGACTATGGGAAACAAGAAACGGGATCCACAATCTCTCCAGGGACAGGTTTTTTAGGGCAAGGAGGGAAAAAGACTGGTAAGAAATGACAATAATCCTACACCAACTGAAAACACTTCTGGAGCAGAGGCACAGACATTGGCCTCTACTTCAGAACAACAGATATTAGAGCCAGCAAATAAAACCCCCCTAAATTCCACCAATATAATGACATTTGTCTTTGCAAACATACAGGGTCTAAATCCATCAAAAAATAACAAAATTCCTTACATCAAGGGACTGCTCATGGAGTCAAATGCAATGTTTGCAGCATTCACAGAGCCCCACATAAAGGATCATTATGACAACGAAATATGGATCCCAGGTTATAACTTATTCTGATGCGACAGACTAAACAGGCAACGAAGGGGGTGTTGGCCTATATGTCACAGAGTTGCTCATTTGCACATAACTACTAAACACCTCAAATGATGTAGTTGAAGTTTTGGTGGTAAAGATTGAAAACCAAAACCTTGTCATTGTGGTGGTATACAAGCCACCAGATGCTACTTCCCAGCAGTTCCAGGAGCAGCTTGTGAAAATTGACCACTGCCTAGAAAATCTCCCAACTCCTGCCCCAAACATCTTACTACTACGAGATTTCAACTTGAGACACCTAAAATGAAGAAGTATAGCAAACACTGTTTTAGCAGAGATCACCCCAAGAGGCAGCTCAGATGAAAATTCACACACACATGAACTATTAAATCTCTGCACCAAATTCACCTTAAACCAGCAAATAGTAGAGCCTACATGACTAGAAAATATGCTGGACATCATCTTCACTAACAACGATGATCTGATAGGTAATATAACAGTATCAAAGACAATACACTCAGATCACAACATAATGCACAGGGCTCCTGACCAGCAAAATGTGAGCAGTCACGAAAGTCACTTCACAAAATTCAATTTCAATAACAAAAACATACAATGGGATAAAGTAAACCATGTCCTAAATGAAACAAGCTGGGAAGATATCCTAAACAACATGGATCTGAACATTTGCCTTGAAAAAATTAATTCTGTGGTTCTTGAGATCTGCTCAAGACACAGTCCATTAAGAAAAAGAAAGAGAAGATGTAAACTAGAAAGAGAGAGACGCTCCCTATACAGACCAAGGCGAAGAGTCACAGAGCTGCTGAGTGGGGCCAGTATATCTGAAATACAAAGGGAGGCACTAGTCAAGGAAATTGTAAATATCAAACTTAAGCTGAAGGAATCTTACAGGAGACAAGAATCACAGGAAGAACTAAAAGCCATAAAGGAAATTGAAAATAACCCAAAATACTTCTTCTCTTATGCCAAATCTAAGGGAGAAACAACATCCAGTATTGGGCACGTGCTTAGGCGGGATGGGACATACACAGATGATAGCCAAGATACTGAAGTCCCAATATGACTCAGTGTTCAGCGAGCCACTGCCCAGACTAAGGGTCGACAAACCAAATGAATTCTTTATGAACGAAACCCAAAATTTGGACATCCCAAAAATCTCAGATATTATCCTAACTCCACAAGACTTTGAAGAGGCAATAAATGACATGCCCATGCACTCTGCCTCAAGCCCAGACTCATGGAACTCCGTGTTCATCAAGAACTGCAAGAAGCCCCTATTTAGCATTTTAAGGAGTTGAGCATGGACGCAAGGGTCATCCCACACACTAAAAACAACAGACATAGCCCCACTCCACGAAGGTGGCAGTAAAGCAGTTGCAAAGAACTACAGACCAATAGCACTAACATCCCATATAAAAATCTTTGAGAGGGTTCTAAGAAGCAAGATCGCCAACCACCTAGATACTCATCAGTTACACAACCCAGGGCAACACGTGTTTAGAGCAGGTCGCTCCTACCTGTCCCAGCTACTGGACCACTATGACAAGGTCCTGGATGCTATAGAGGATAAACAAAATACTGATGTAGTATACACAGACTTTGCAAAAGCTTTCGACAAGTGTGACCATGGTGTAATAGCACACAAAATGCGTGATAAAGGAATAACAGGAAAATGTTGGTAGATGGATCTACTATAACTTCCTGACAAATAGAACACAAAGAGTAATAGTAAACAGAGTAAAGTCCCAGGTAGCCACGGTAAAAAGCTCTGTTCCACAAGGCACAGTACAGTGGACCCCCGCATAACGATATTATTTCAATCCAGAAGTCTGTTTGGGTGCCGTTATAGACCGTATTTGTTCCCATAAGAAATATTGTGAATTAGATTAGTCCTTTTCAGACCCCTAAAAATACACCTACAAAAGCACTTACAAAAATAAACTTACATAATTAGTCAAGTTGGGAGCTGATCGTTATCCGGGGGTCCACTGTACTTGCTCCCATTCTATTCCTCATCCTCATTTCTGACATAGATTTACGCCATAGCTCCATGTCTTCCTTTGCGGATGACACTCGGATTACCATAGCAGCGACCTCCATCGAAGACACCGCAAGACTCCAAGCGGACATCAACCAAATCTTCGAATGGGCCACTCAAAACAATATGAAGTTCATCGAGGAGAAATTTCAACTACTCAGATATGGGAAACTTGAGGAAATTAAAAATATATCAGGGTATATGACAAATTCTAACCATACAGTAGAGTGGAAAAGTAATGTGAAGGACCTGGGAGTGATAATGTCAGAGGACCTTGCCTTCAAAGACCACAACAATGTATCTACCTCATCTGCTAGGAAAATGATAGGATGGATAATGAGAACCTTCAAAACTAGGGATGCCAAACCCATGATGATTCTCTTCAAATTGCTTGTGCTCTCTAGGCTGGGATACTGCTGGCGACATTGCAGACCTGGAAAGTGTACAAAGAACTTTCACGACACACATAAGTACCATAAGGCACCTAAATTACTGGGACCAGTTGAAGGTCCTTGATCTGTATTCCCTGGAATGTAGGTGAGAGAGATACATGATAATATACACTTGGAAGGTCCTGGAGGGATTGGTACCAAACCTGCACACGAAAAGCACTTCCCATGAAAGCAAAAGACTCGGCAGGAGATACAACATTCCCCCGATGAAAAGCAGGGGCGCCATGAGTACATTGAGAGACAACACAATAAGTGTCCGGGGCCAAAGACTGTTCAACTGCCTCCCAGCATACATAAGGAGGATTACCAATAGACCCCTGGCTATTTTTAAGAAGGCACTGTACAGGTACCTAAAGTCAGTACCTGACCAACCGGGCTGTGGTTCGTCCGTCAGCTTATGTGCGGCCAGCAGTAACAGCCTGGTTGATCAGACCCATCCACCATGAGGCCTGGTCTCAGACCAAGACACGGGGCCATTGACCCCCGAAACCCTCTCCAGGTAAACTCTGTCAATTTAGTATTAATATGAATTTTTCTTATAAATATTTCAGATCACCTGGAACAAGGTGGGGGTACGACTGGTGGGGGAGTGATGGTGGGTACGATACATGGTGGATTAGGAAACGTTGGAGGACACCAGCTGGGCTATGGGGCCTCCCAGCATCATATAAACCCTGGAAACAGTGATGACCTTCGGTTTCATGGCTCAGAACTTGTCATGCTCTATGATTATAAGGTTTGTGATTATTTTTAGTAGTAGTAATTATATTTACAGGTGCTGTATGACACATGAGGTCATACAGCACCTGGGAGAATGGGAGCAATCAGATTCCATCCAAGGAAAGAGAGGATCGGTCCAGTTCCTGGATTAAGGACATCCTCACCAGCATCAAGGTTAGTTTAATATCTTTATTACGTATCCCATACCCATCCTGTGGATGGTAGTCAGAGAGATTACAGAGGTACATAATGGGTCCAGGTACCCATTATATACCTCTGTTTTGATAGCTGAACAAGTATCAAAGTACTACCTCCCATAAGGGGTATGTGCTTACTGTTACTATTTTATTAACTAAATTAGTTCATGATACTTCGTGCATGGTGTATCTATCCTATTTGCTATGTTTTATAAGCAGTCTGCAGGAAGAATACTTAGCAGGAATGACCGGGGTTTATAGCCTCAATTCACATGTTGACATGAGAGCAAGTTGGCCTTTACTGCTTGCTGTAGTCTCTGGTCCCAGCTGTATCCCTCTTGGCCAAAACTCATTGGTACATCCTGCAGTTAGTTTCATTGTTAGCTCTATTGTGGATACCTGTGGGTGGTAATATATTGATGGCCTAGTCTCTGAACCCATTACCTTAAGTTATATACAAATTATATACAGTATATTATATACAGTAAAGCCTGGTTGATCAGGCTCTGATCCACCAGGAGGCCTGGTCACAGACCGGGCCGCGGGGGCGTTGACCCCTGGAACTCTCTCCAGGTAAACTCCAGGTCTCCAGGTATCATAGCTGTGCATAAATTGAAGATAATCTATAGGTTTTTCAGAGATAACATGTTGAAGGGGAGGGAAAAAAAGAAAGATTTATAGGCACAAGTTTTTGGGGAGACATGCAGATGGTTGTACAGCCTCTCCTCACTTAGTGACGTACAATTAAGGCCCTGCCTTATGGCGTTCCAATAATACCACAATTTCAAATTATGACTAAAACTCTCATTATGGCTCCCTGTCTTTCTAATACGGTGCTTGCCACCCGGTTTGTTTACATTCTCCGTGAGCACTGCATCTCCATTATGTTTGGAAACTTTCCAAAATTTCAAGTGTTTTAAAGTTATTTCATATTTTATATATACTCTGATAATTATACTTATGTGTACCTGTACCTATGTAAGCTTACACAATGTGCTGGCATGCAGGTACACATTAAGATCACTAAGAGTGTCTTATTAGTCTTGACGATGCCATATTAATAATAACACAATAATAATCACTCTAAGGCACATTAAATGTCGTATAAAATGTTAATATAGACATTTTGCTTACTCCATGTATGATTTTTTTTTTTCAAAATTTTATAATAAACACTCTATGTAGCACATAAACATGATAAATATACCCACAGTAGAATAAATTAACATAAATATGACATGTCTTTCCATTCGGCTTGCGGGAGTGAACTAAAACCATATGCATCCAGCTGGTGTGTACAAAACTCAAACCTTCTACTCCCTCATGTACTCATTCTCTCTCTCTCTCTCATTTATTTGTTTAATCTTGTTTACTAACCTCACCCTACATTAAGACTACAAATATTTTAAGGTAAGTAATGAGCATACTGTATATGCATTTTATCTCTCTAGGGTGCTTTAAATGTGTGAGTGGGGTGGCCAGATGGGCTATGATACCTACCACACTTCAATACCACACTTCAATACCATTCATCACAACTTCAATACCTACCTACCCTACCATTCACCTTTCACCCTATACATATTAAGGCCATTAAGACTACAAATATTTTAAGGTAGGTAATGAGTGTACACTAAATGCACATTATGCTCTAGGGCTCTTTAGATATCGAAGTATATTACGTGTGGGTGGGGTGGTGTGGGGTGGCCTGGCTGGCTGCCATACCTACCTCACTTAACTTCTTACAATAAACACTACTTACCTCTCACCCTACATTAAGACCAAATATTTTGAGGTAAATAATGAGTACTGTGTCTGTATTTTACTTTTTATTGTTTTTAAAGCCTTGTTCTATTGCTAACTTAATATATGTTAGTGTAAATTTATTATCTGACATTTATCAGTGGAAACAAATAGTGTTCAGCTGAGGGAGGTGGGAAAGGAGGACTGTGCGCAAAGGTGATAATGGAGTGAAGGGCAGAAGTTAGTGAGGGTAGGGGAGAGTGCAAGAGGAGTAAAATCACAATTGGTGCAAAGATGTGTAACATATGATAGGCATATGATAAGAGTGGGTAAGGAAGCAATGTGGAAGATGTTGCAAATAGTATGTGGAATATGTGGTAAGTTACTAAATGCTGTAAAGAGTTTTTATGAGGATAGTGAGGCTCAGGTTAGGGTGTGTAGAAGAGGGGGAGACTACTTCCTGGTAAAAGTAGGTCTTAGACAGGGATGTGTAATGTCACCATGATTATTTAATATATGTACTATTTATAGATTGGGTTGTAAAAGAAGTAAATGCTAGGGTGTTCGGGAGAGGGGTGGGATTAAATTATGGGGAATTAAATACAAAATGGGAAGTGACACAGTTACTTTTTGCTGATGATACTGTGCTTATGGGAGATTCTAAAGAAAAATTGCAAAGGTTAGTGGACAAATTTGGGAGTGTGTAAAGGTAGAAAGTTGAAAGTGAACATAGAAAAGAGTAAGGTGATGAGAGTATCAAATGATTTAGATAAAGAAAAATTGGATATCAAATTGGGGAGGAGTAGTATGGAAGAAGTGAATGTTTTCAGATATTTGGGAGTTGGATGGATTTATGAAGGATGAGGTTAATCATAGAGTTGATGAAGGAAAAAAGGTGAGTGGTGCATTGAGGTATATGTGAGGCAAAAAATGTTATCTGTGGAGGCAAAGAAGGGAATGTATGAAAGTATAGTAGTACCAACACTCTTATATGGATGTGAAGCTTGGGTTGTAAATGCTGCAGCGAGGAGGCAGCTGGAGGCAGTGGAGATGTCCTGTTTTAGGGCAATGTGTGGTGTAAATATTATGCAGAAAATTCGGAGTGTGGAAATTAGAAGGTATGGAATTAATAAAAGTATTAGTCAGAGGGCTGAAGAGGGTTTGTCGAGATGGTTTAGTCATTTAGAGAGAATGGATCAAAGTAGAATGACATGGAGAGTTTATAAATCTGTCGGGGAAGGAAGGAGGGGTAGGGGTCACCCTCGAAAAGGTTAGAGGGAGGGGGTAAAGGAGGTGTTGTGGGCGAGGGGTTTGGACTTCCAGCAAGTGTGCGTGAGCGTGTTAGATAGGAGTGAATGGAGACAAATGGTATTTGGGACCTGATGAGCTGTTGGTGTGAGCAGGGTAATATTTAGTGAAGGGATTCAGGGAAACCAGTTATTTTATATAACCGGACTTGAGTCCTGGAAACGGGAAGTACAATGCCTGCACTCTAAAGGAGGGGTTTGGGATATTGGTGGTTTGGAGGGATATATTGTGTATTTTTATACGTATATACAGGTACCATCCGACTTACGACCGAGTTAGGTTCCGACAAACCGGTCGTAAGTTGAAATGGACGCAAGTCGAACCTTACTACTGAATATCAACATCACATTTTTGTAATGACTTTATTTTATTGTTTTATTTTGGTATTTCATTTTTTTACTTTACTTTTTTATCTTAGTACGATTTTTATACGAAGGTTTAGATAACTTGTTACACCAAACGGGTGTTTTATTTCCCAAATTTTTGGCTAAAAAACACGTCGTAAGTGGAGGGGTCGTTTTCAACAGGTCGTAATAGATGCGGTGTACTTCAAAACTTTTGAAATTGGGCACCTCGAAAAACAGTGATTATGGTGAGGAGGGAAAGTTTTGAATAATAAAGTATTTTCTTTTTGGGATTTTCTTTTTTTTTGGGTCACCCTCCCGGGTGGGAGACGGCCGACTTGTTAAAAAAAAAATGTGTTCATGATGCTTCCCCAAAATTTAATTGGTCTTTTATTATTTATTTTCGGGCACAAGCCCCAGATGATTTATCAGTTCGCCGGGGAGATTGGATCTATGCTGATTTAAATAATCAAACTGTTGATGGATGGTTATGGGCATATGCTCCAAAGACTCGAAAGTATGGCTTTATACCAAAGGCTTATGCTCGCCCTCCTGCAAGACACCCCTATAAAAATGGAAGTAACTGGTGTAAATATATTTCTGTGAAGCTGACTTGTGTTTGTGATTTCTGTATATGATAAACAAGATAACACCAGACTCAGTGTTGTTAGGGTGGCTCCTAGTGTACAGATTGCAGCCAGCAGTGGTGCCCTCTCACAGAGCTGACAATGGTTGCAGCGATCCGTCTCAATATTGTATAGAAAAAATTATTTATCTTTGTACGTAGCTTAATTTAATGAATAATACTCACAATTATTTAAATACACACAAGATACATCATTTAATTATAAGCTGCAGGTGTGATTGGGCATTTCAAATGCCACTGGTGCCAAATACGAGGTTTAACTCATTCCTTTTTTATGCTTTCCTATGTCTGCTCTTTGTTTTATATATTTGTAAATGACATTGTTAACTTTTAAACGAACAAGTTGATGTAAAATACATTTATTTTCCAGTTTATTTTCCTTTTGCACCATTATTTAATAAGGTTGACAGCTGCCCACATACAGAAATTGAATTTATTGTAATTTTCATAAAACTTCATGCACTTTTTCCGTCAAAGAGGAGGATGCCAAGATGTTGATAAAGGGCTGGTAATTTGACTAATTGGAACTAACACCATTTCCTCAGACTTGACCCAGATTCCTTCCATTTCCCAGGCACCATATGTTCCTTAAGGATTTACCACTTTCCTGTAATAATAAAAAATGTGACATTTATGGATTTGGAAAAGGCATATGACAGGGTGGATAGGGGGGGCAGTGTGGCAGATGTTGCAAATGTATGGCATAGGAGGTAGGTTATTGAAAGCAGTGAAGAGTTTTTACGAGGATAGTGAGGCTCAGGTTAGAGTATGTAAGGGAGAGGGGGATTATTTCCCAGTAAAAGTAGGCCATAGACAAGGATGTGTTATGTCACCATGGTTGTTCAATATATTTATTGATGGGGTTGTAAGAGAAGTGAATGCTTAGGTGTTGGCAAGAGGTGTGGGATTAAAAGATACAGAATCTAACACGAAGTGGGAGTTGTCATTGCTGATGACACTGTGCTCTTGGGAGATTCTGAAGAGAAGTTGCAGAGGTTGGTGGATGAGTTTGGTAGGGTATATAAAAGAAAATTACAAGTGAATATAGGAAAGAATAAGGCAATGAGGATAACAAAATAAATTAGGTAACAAAAGACTGGATATCAGATTGGAGAGAGAGAGTTGAAGGAGGTGAATGTATTCAGATATTTAGGAGTGGATGTGTCAGCAGATTGGTCTATGAAAGATGAGGTGAATCATAGAATTGATGAGGGGTGAAAAGGTAAGTGGTGCACTGAGGAGTCTGTAGAGACAAAGAACTTTGTCCATGGAAGCAAAGAGGGGAATGTATGAGGATACAATTATACCAGCGCTCTTATGTGGGTGTGAAGCATGGGTGGTGAATGTTGCAACAAGAAGGATGGAGGCAGTGGAGATGTTGTGTCTGAGGGCAATGTGTATTGTGAGTATAATGCAGAGAATTCATAGTTTGGAAATTAGGAGGTGCGGGATTACCAAAACTATTATCCAAAGGACTGAGGAAGGGTTGTTGAGGTGGTTTGGACATGTAGAGAGGATGGAGCAAAATAGAATGAGAGTATAAATCTGTAGGGGTAGGGGGTCAGCCTAGGAAAGGTTGGAGGGAGGAGGTAAAGGAGGTTTTGTGTGCAAGGGGCTTGGACTTCCAGCAAGCATTCGTGAGCATGTTAGGAGCAAGTGGAGACAAGTAGTTTTAAGACTTGACGTGCTGTTGGAGTGTGAGCAAGGTAACATTAATGAAGGGATTCAGGGAAACCAGCAGGCCAGACTTGAGTCCTGGAGATGGGAAGTACATACAGTGTCTGCACTCTGAAGGAGGGGTGTTAATGCTGCAGTTTTATAACTGTAGTTTAAGCGAGCCTCTGGCAAGACAGTAATGGAGTGAATGATGGTGAAAGTTTTCCTTTTTCAGGCCACCCTACCTTGGTGGGAAATGGCCGATGTGTTAATAAAAAAATAAAATAAAATGAGAATATATACACCTTTTCTACTCCCATTGAATTAGGAGTCAAGATTGACGTATGTATTTTAATCGTGAAGCATTGAACTCATTGGAGTTGTATAATGCCTCGAAAATGGGAAGCATTTAGGTATAAATCATGAAAGATGAAAGGGGAGGATAAGCCTAGTTCCTTGGATCATGAGCCTCCTTACCAGCATCAAGCACCTCCCTTGAGGTCAAAGCTGACAAATCAAGAAATGCAGTAATATAATTTTTGCCCCTGTGAGTGATGTGACAAAATATTCTGTTGGTAATATGAATCCTGTTAGGTAAAAATGGACCATACTCTTTTAAAGTTATGGTCCAAGATTTAAGTTCTGATTTAAGTGAAACCTCCATAAAACAGACTAATAAAGGGAAAGTGTGTCCAATATATATAGTGAAAATCCATTATATTGCTTAAGAGGCTATGCTAATAACACTGCACATGGTACTTGTATTGGTACTGCATTGGAAAACACCATAAATCCAAAGAAAATTGGAGACAAAATGATGATGGCATGTGAGCTCCCGCACAGACAATAACAAACTGACACAGGCTGTCACTGGCCCTGCTGCTCACACTTTTTGGCCTACATGGATTAATGCTTGTTTCATGAATATCATTTTTTTTTTACAACTTAACATCAGATGTTTCCCCTCCATATGATATGGTCTATTCTTGAGCACAATCATTGTTATGAGGGCCCAGGTTGGACAGAGATGTCTAAAATTCCCCACAAGTTGTGTGTTAGTCGTTAAATGTTAAAGCCACAGTTTTGTGACCTGTGTTCCTTAAAATACAGTGGACCCTCGACATTCGATACTAATCCGTTCCTGAGAGCTATCGAAAGTCGAATTAATTTTCCCCATAAGAAATAATGGAAATCAAATTAATCCGTGCAAGACACGCAAAAGTATGAAAAAAAAAAATTACCACATGAAATATTAAGTTTAATGCAATAGAATAATTACAATAACAACAATAACAATAGAATAATTGACACTTACCTTTAATAAAGATCTGGTGATGATTGATGGGATGGGAGGAGGGGAGTGTGTGGATGGTGTTAGTGTTTAGAAGGGGAATCCCCTTCCATTAGGACTTGAACTGGCAGCCTCACCATGCCTTACCACACTGTGTATGCCACTATGATTCTTAAATCTTTCAAACCAACCTTTGCTGGCCTTAAATTCACTCACATCGCCACTAGTTGCAGGCAATTTCTTTACCAAATCATCATGCACTCCGACACACGCACTCCACTTTCGTACTTTGCAATTATCTCTTTCTTCATTTCAGTAGTCATTAGCACCTTTTTTCTTGAAGGGTTGGCAATAGAAGCTTTCTTGGGGCCCAGTGATAATATGGAATGTACCGAATGTATCCTTAGATGCGCGCACACTGGCTGGCTTGTAAACACTGGCACACATGGTGCAGTTCAGGCCACACGTGGACACGTCTCGTACGAATCGTATCGAATGTCGGGTTTTCCATCGAATGTTGAGGCGAAATTTTTGCGTTAAAATGCATCGAATGTCGATGCCATCGAATGTCGGGGGTCCACTGTATATATATTTAAAAAAATTTCAAAACATTTATCAGTAGTGTTATCAGTAATGTACTTGTCTGATAAATGCTGATATAATGTAGATTAATTGGGAAGTACTAAACTCTGAAAAGTAATGTCTCCTGGGAAATGGGATGTAAACAGTTTTGATCTGAGGAAGGTGAGGATATTTCTCATTCCTTGTGATTAGAGTGCTTTACCAGCATCAAAGCACCTCCCCGAAGGATTTGGAGAATGTAGGCTAATTCACTAGCTTGGTGAGTAATGATACGGCTTTCAAGGGTCTTACCCCTTCAATAAAAATGCCTTGATGATGAAGGGCTTTTGATGTAAGGAATTAGAGCTACCCTTCCCTGGGATCAAACTTGATTACCTTCAGTTCCTCTAGTGCTATATGACCCCCCTCACTCCCATAGAACTAACTCATGAATATAATGTGCACCTCATGCACATCAAATCTTATTATGTACCCCATTCCATCCTGTGGGTGATATTTCCTTACATCCACCCTTTTTCATACGACCATATCTGTAAACTCCCTTCTTGGAATTTTTACTATTAGGTTTCTTCCTTCACAGTTCCGATGCAAGAGCTAAGTATCAAGCATGACAATCACTCCCCAATCAGGAATATCCTGGAGGGGTTTTCAAGGGTTCATGTGCCACCATGGCTCAGCATTCCATGACCCAAGCCTCACGTTGAAACAGGGCTGATCACCAGGCTCACACTTTCTAGTTGGCACATAAACCACATATGAACCCACAGCAGGCTGGTCAGGTACTGACTTTAGGAGCCTGACCAGCTCTTAGACAGCCAGGGGTCTGTGTTGTTAATGCCCCCTTAGTTGAACAATCTTGTGGTCCCGATGTAAGCAAAATAAAATAATTTTCACAATTTTAACATTAGGCCAACACACTTGATGAAACCTGCCACAACTCTTAAAGTGCTCTCAGCCTTTCTTTGTTTTTGTTTTTTGTTTATGCTTTTAACCAATGGTCATTTCCACTGAGGCAGGGTGACCCAAAAAGAAAAGAAAAAACTTTCAACATTTCAACACTATCACCATCACTCAAACATAATCACTGTCTTTGCAGAGGCGTTCTCAGATACGATCAGCTTAGAAACATCCCTTCCAAAGTGCCAGTAACCCAAATCCCTCCTTTAAATGTGCAGCTTGTACTTCTCCATTCCAGACTCAAGTCTGCTAACCAATTTCTCTGAGTCCTCCTTCACGAACAAAAATTACCCTACTCACACTCCAACAGCTTGTCAGGCCCCAAAAATCATTCATCTACATTCACTCTTATCTATACGTGCCCATGCAATGCTTTCTATTGGCAACAAAGCCTTGTGGCTTAGCGCTTCTTTTTGATTAAAATAATAATAACACAGCCTTGTAGATTACAATCTTGTGGCTGGTCAGTTGGAATTTGAAGAAAATGAATATAAAAACAGAACTTCATTGACTTGAGACGAGGGAGAATGATGCCAGACAGAGGTCCGCATATCAACACTATCATGCAGGAAGAGCAGTATATCTAAGGTGCATCAACAAAATAAGCAGATTTGGATGTCACCAACTACTCCAGCTCTGGCTGGGTTACCATTATCTCCAAAAGACTGTCTTGTCTTTCAGTGAGCACCACAAAATTTACCTCCGTTGTCAACACCCTCTCTAACACTTTAACTTACCCTCACTGCTGACGGGCCCATCTTGACTCAGGACTTCGTCATTGACTTCTTAACAGCAACTGATATTATTATGCAAACTCTGATAAAACTCCCTCTAGCACACTTAGCCTTTATATCCTACCCTGTTAACTCTCTCC